GCTGATATTGTTTCTCGAGGGTAATACTGGTGAAACAGATAAAATGAATAGTCATCATAAGAAGAGTGATAGCATTTTTTTGCTTAATTTTTTTTTTGAAATACATTGTATTTTATAAAGCAAAAGGACTTGCAAAGGATAATGTGAGGACTAAAAAACTTAGCGTGAATAATATGTTACAAATAATCAAATATTATATTGTATATTGTACTAAAGTCCTGCGGAATTGTTGCCGATTCTATGAAATGCCTTTTTTTTGGCTTTTTACGCTTGAATTATAAAATAACTCAGGAATTTCTGGTATTTATTTTTTCCTTTTAGTTTAACAAATATACAGACAGCTTTTTGTTACTTTTGTTTACGTATGGAGCAGAGAACAAAAATTCCAGAATTGCCAAGTTGCAAAAACAAAAATTTGGTTTTTTTGGCTGACATTTAATGATGACAAGTAACAGATATTTTTGTGAATTTTTGTTCTAATCTGAGTCTCTAAAATTGTCGATGATTTAGATGAATTAACTTGACTTCTTTTAAATTTTTATTCTCTGTTGAGCAGTACAAACACCAAAAGCTTAATGCTTTTTTCTTTCTAATTTTGTTTTTTAGCTTTTATTGTTGTTCTGTTATGCCAAGCTTCTTCTGTTGTTCTGGTATTACCTACCTACAAATTGAAGCCTTGTTTTGGTGGTTTTGCAACTTACAACAATTTTTGTGTCGATGCTAGGAACGTTGCTTCATTCATATGTTGGCCAAAACAGAGCAGTTTTCGTTGGTTCATCTGTTTTGTTAGATCTTTTTTATTTTCCTGTATTTTGGATGTACTTTTGTCCCTCTCCATCATCCCTTTGGCCTTCATCACTTGTAGAAACAATACATAAAAATGTTGAGAAAAGCAGTAGTAAAAATAATCATGTGACGATTTATGTCTCAGTGATGAACCCGAAAAGATTTTTATTTTTGTTTTCTTCTTTGTTGATTCACTGAAAACAAGAAGGGCTAAGCTGAACTTAACAGCTGAACAGGAAGAATAAAAAAATGTAAGAGGGCTAACGTCGATGTTATAATGTCATTAAATTTCACTTCATTCATTTACCTACCACACTTACCATTGATTTACTTACATACCCAGTAAGATTTACATAATATTCTGTTGATGCTTTTTTTGCGGTTTTGTTATCAGCTCAAAGTGAAACCAATAAGTAGAAGTAGAGGATGGGAGAAAGCAATATAAAAGAAACAAAAAAAACCATAAACATTTTGCTGAATAATACAAGTATTTGATTAGATCCTGTAGTTTTTGATCCTACCGCATTTATGTCAACAAACAAGAAGTAATTAGTGCTATGCTAACACACTGAAAAGTGTAGCCTGTTTTTGACAATCCACGGTTAATACTTTGTTCACTTGGCAACAACTGCAAAAAAAAAACTAGAGTGACTGATTTGATATCTACAGAATCGGCTGAAATGTTAGCGTTGTAATAACAGAATAAAAACGAAAAAATAAAAAAGCAGAAAAGATTTAAAGCAAAAAAGAAAAAGCAAAGACTGGTAGAGGCGGTTAAGAGAATAAACGTAAAGATGACGACTGTTATCAAAACTTATTGTCCATGCTTTCCGCTTCCTATATTTTTCCATCTGAAGTCTCCTCCTCTTCCTCTACCTCCTCAACTTTCCTATTCAAAGCTATTGCACACAAAAAGTGCTACAAAACTGTTACTCACTTTTCGTTGTTGTGTGACCAAATGTTGGCTGTAACCTTAGAATTATTACAGTCACCAACAACAGCGACTGTTGGCTCCAGTTGATACAACTCTGTGCAAATCGTCCAACAGACTATACAGTAACGTTCGGTGATTTCTAAAGACAAAAGCTACAAAACCTTTTTTTTTTTATTCTTCTTCAAAAACAGTTTCAAAAATGTTTTCTTTTCGCAAACATTATGTTTACTTATAAAAAAAAATTTAATAATAATCGAAAAAAAAAGAACAGAAAAAGGCAACTTTTGAAAGCACTTAAGTACTGTGCATTCGTTGAATATACCCCAAATTGAAGAGCTGCAAAATTTACAGCAGCAATAAGAGAATAACTATTCTTTAAAATTTTATCAGCATTAAATTTGATTATTTTTTACTTTTTCATTTTTTCACTTCCTTTTTTCTTCAGTAGGGAAAAAAAAGTTGGCAATAAATATACAGCCCTTTGCCACTTTACAATTTTGTTTTTTTTTAAATGTATTTTCATCTCATTTCTTCCGCACCAAAAGTTACTTTACCGTCAACAGTGTTTACCTTTGCCTTTTTTTTTGCTCTCCTTCCCTCTGGTTTTACTATTTTTTATTGTACAACAATTTCTGAAACAAAAAAAGAACATTTATTTAGGATATCATTGTTGTTTTTTTTTTT